AAAGTCAATAGGACAAGAGTAGATTAACATTTACATCTGTACAGATTCGGATTCAGATTTCATATTATTTGATTTCTTGTGTAAGACCCATCTGAGAGTAGACATATAATAACATACAGTATATTAGAAATTTACAATGGTACAATTATAAACAGTTATAACAATGACAATGACAATTGTTTTTATTCTCATAAACAATACAGTGTAGAGAATACATATATACATATGGGTGACAATAATACATGGTGGAACAGGATGGACATTAGTATTGTAAATTAATTATGTCATTAATATTGGTAATAAATTTAGCCAATGATGTCAATTCATGTTGTGTTACATAATTGAATAATGTATGATATTTCAATGTGTTTGGTCTTTCATAATAATATCTGGACATATGTTTTCGACTACTATTGAGAATTTGTTGGGGGGGGGGGGGGGGGGGGGGGGGGGTAGAAGAGAGGTGCTATGATTTGCTTTATAAAAAGATCTTTGACTATACATAACGTTGTTTTTTTGTTGTTTTTTTTCAAATATTTTATTTCCCCCAGCCAAATAGTATATATATATTACGTTTTACTATATCATTTAGTGTTTGCACCATCAGTATTGTTGCTACCGACCTCGAATAGCGATGAATCCTAGAAGGACGAAACAGCTGTATGATGCAGCATAATTCATGTTTTGGCAAACTGTATCTTTTATCAAAATTGAAAGGTGCATCACATGTATGTATGTTACGATCATTTACCAGGTGACACACACTGAAATGATGTGGTTGGTATGTTAAAAACGCGTTAAAATTTATTACTTCTAGTGTCCATGACGATAATAATAAATAATATGCGAATGTCCAATGCATAGCAACATTCGTGTAATGGTGCTACGGATATCTTTGGTTATTTAAGAACCCACGACATAAAGATTCTTGTATGATTTCGGCTATGACGTAGATTTTCCTTTACCCCCGTTTTGACGTTGATCTGGAAATTTATTGCTCGGCTGGTTTTGCATTTTGGAGTGATGTTAACATCGATACATTTATATGCTTCATGAAATAGAGATGAAGCAGAATACTTTACAGCCTGCATTATTGTGAACGTCAAAATACTAGGCTGGTTGGGTTGCGCAGTGAATAGCAAATTCACCTTCCACCAAGACGGCCAGCGTTCGATTCTGCGATTGGATGAGAAAGGTATTGGGTCACCTGCCCGACCACGTTAGTTATTTGTAAAAACATAGTACAGTTTCAAAATAAAATGTTTATTTCCTGCAAAGACAGTCTCTCCAAGGAATATTTTTTTCTATTGAATAATCAAGGCATAATATTCCAAGCCAAACATTTGAGGATTGTCGACTGTGTTCGATCGTTGGAAACCGGCCTACCAGAACGCTACTGGATCGGTCCTGAACTGTCGTCTTGATAGAGATTAGTGGTTTTGAAAATTTGAACTGTTTGGACTTATTCAAAGCTATGCATACTCATGTAACAGACAGGGATATCGAGATAGGAATAGCGGTATAATTTGCTGTTATAACCAATGATATATTATCAGATATAATATACCGGCTTCCATCTCTAAAATATTGAATTATTGGACATAAAACTCTAATAATTTTGATCCGTTGGATGTCTGATTCTCAGTTCTCAAACTAGGGTTGTATAAGCTAGTAATTACGGCTGGTAGCCAGTCTACAGATATGAATGTATGACGAATAATTCCTGACTGCAGTTTGAACTTTTATAAAATTAAAAACAAATAAAATATAGAAGAGCGCCTGTAACAACCTGATCCCGCGGTTAAATGTTTTGTCCTCTTATCTGAAAAGACCTACGTTGGCAAGTATTTGATGTGTACGAGCTGGCCTGGAGCCAGGAGTGTTAGATCTAGAAAACAAATGGCTATATTGGGCCAATGAAAGGTTTAGTCAAACTTTCACTCAAACTGATATACATTGTTATTCAAAATATATGAATAAATATGAATTTTTATGTCCATATTATAACATTCATTTATTTATTTTACAATTCTAACGTTGTATAGCGCGGTTTGGACATTTTTCGAATATTCATCATAGATGAATACTGCTGCACTAAAACATGATTATTTTGAAACAAATTGTATTATTTGTACAAAATAATGTTAAAACACATTTACTCATAGTTAGGTTAGATGCAGCATTGTACGCTTAAATATATATTATCACAAATGATCGACATCAAAAAAAAATCAAGCTGCAAAATTCTCGTACAGTGAGGAACATCCCACGAAAAACAGAAACCTATACAAAATAGTATCAATGTGAATAAAAACAAAAGGGGAGCTGCTACTGTCAGTATGACAAGATAACAGCATGAAAGAATGAGATTAAAAAAACCCAATTACATCTGTCTTATTGCATTTCATTTTAAATGTTCAGATTTGAAAACAAGAATGCAAAAAGGGACATATTTTGTGTTGGTATTTTGTTTTAATACATCCCAGCGTATGGTCCTTTTTTAAACTGCTTGTGCCGTAACAAGCAAGGTTCCACTATACTATAACCTAGGGTTTTCTAACTAGAAATGCTCCAATGGACTGTTATTTGTATAAACTAAAACAAAAATAACACGTTTTTATTGACAATCTATTTTGAATTTAATTTAGAAAATACCAAAGGATACACTATTAGGCTTGCAAAGCTTTCTAATGATTTGTCAACTTAATTTCAGTTTTGGTGAACTTTGATTAAAAACCTTTTTTTTCGTAGTGCATTTTATGTTCTCTGTGGATTATTGTGAATCTCTAAATATGTGGTGTGTTTTTGACGTTCGACATAATACATGAATATTTTAATATTTGTTAATTGCAGTGTGGTAGAACGGCTTCAAACCACTTTGCCCGATGAGGCATTTAACGAGATCGGGACCTTGATAGCTCCTTAAATGCATGTTAAAAAACAAATAAAATTGAATACTGCCAGTTTTAAATTGAACCATTTACGTTCGACTCAGCTTAATGCACGACGAAAAAACCTGTTTTTACTAACCATGGAGTTTCAGGAAATCCATAGGATTCAATTATTCATGAATCATTCTTAAATTGCGTTGACAATTTTTCTCAAATAAAAGTTTGTATAACATCAACCTTGGCTCTTGAAGAAGATCACTTTGATGAAATGCCGTTCGTATTGTACGTACCTCGCTTACCGTCAACATATTTTCTAGTTTTTTATGATGAATATTTTCGATGACAATCTCTGTGTATCGGCAAAATCCCTTTGTAAAGCCAAACTGTCTGTGGACAAATGGCAAAAGGCAAAATATAATAAGTTTTAACTGTACTCAGTATTCAGTATAGCGTATCAGCTTTCCTAGCGAATGCAGAAAACCAAAACATAAACGCAAAAAGCAATCAAACACCACCTTGAAACAAATGGAAATGCATTATCTTTATTTACGAAATACAATTAGAGAATATTTCTGTACGAAAAGACAAATTGATGGGGCGATGTTCTTCGCGTGATGTCGTTAGTGCTTGACTAAATTAGAACATACTAGTGTGTACTAGATATCGTTTTATCCTTCCTGATAAATATTTAATACACAAAGGCAAGCAGCTCAGAACGTCGTCTGCTTAACCCGCTGTGAAGTAAAACACACATTATGTTGTGACGCAATAACGAATCATTAATATACTCGTAGCTAATACAGTATAAAGACCATCTATTTCTAAATATGACTTAGTGTTGCAATTATGAAACTAGTTCGTCAATAAAAAAAAAATCAGGTTTGAAAATTACTCAATAAGCTAACAGAAGAGACTATTATGCTAAATACAAGGTATGAATAGAGTTTATTCAGAAGGGTGTGACGATGGCATGGAAAATTGTCACAGTGTAAAGAGGATGAAATAGTTTCACTAATGGACAAATTCATCCACATATTTTGTTATTTAAAACATTAGTGTTTGTCATGACTCTGTACGGTTGTGCTAATCGCAGTATAGCTACGCGTTAATGGACAATACCAGTTATAGATGTAGTGTTGTATATGGAGTTGGACGTGCGAGTAAGTGCCAGGATGTATTGGTTAGATACAGGATATTGACACGATAAGTCAAAGGTTGGAGATTTATAACAACATTTTATTTTTTTCATTCAGATACGAGGACACATAGGTTAAAGACTGAAAGGCAAACACCACGACATGATCAGCAGGAGGATTACGTGAAAATCTGTGTAACTGGGAACAAATAGTCCGAATTCTAGGAACAGGGATTGTATTCAACCAAACACCACTAGTTTAGCTGCAGGATAACGTGTTCATAGAAATGTGAGTTGGGAATAAATGCACGTATATAATACCATTAAAGCTATTGAACTAAAGAATTAACTGCTTATAGAATTATTTGATGGCGATATATATCATGTTTACTTAATAATAACAGTCCTAAGTTTAAATAAATTTACAGAAGTATTTTTATTTTCATACATTCCCTTTTGAATTAACAACCCACGTGACTGTGTGTAATTTTCATGCACATGATAGCGTTCGTGTTCGTATCAAATTGCAACGAATAGCAGACAGTTTAATTTTAATTTCGACCTGCCTCAGTGGACAGTGTTACAAACGTTCTAAAATGTACTGTAAATTAAATGGTGTGAGACCAAACATTGTGGATCACAACTATGATGAATATCGGTTTTATCGGTATTTGAGGACCATATCGATTTCTCGAAAATTAAAGCATGGAGTTATGTATCATATCAATATTTGATAAACATTAACGAAAAGGTCTTCAAATAATGTTACGGAAATATGTGTATTAGACAAATTCTTTGATTTGATCTCCAAAAACTATTTAAAACCTGCGTCTCTGGTGATGATGCAAAATAGTCAAGAGCGGTCTTACATATTCAAGAGCAACACGATAGGGCATATTTGAAAGCCATTATATAACGGTGTTAATCGTTTTGCTCAGATACTGTGCTGCATTCGGCGAAGGTGTTACATAGGATATATCTGCGACAGACGGATGAACGCAAGCCTTCCTGGTGAGTACGGCCACAGAATTTTACATTGAATATGAATACAGCCTGTGGGTTCCATTCTATGATTTGAAGGTATTTGCACTGAACTAAGAATATCGTCATAGCATTATATTTACGCGTACCAAAGCAAGTACCGTACGTGTATAACTATAGCAAACGATTTTCGTGGAGAGAATATGTGTTTGATTTGGCGAATATTCCTTTTTTGCTTTTTGCAGAGTTATCTTCTCTTGTGAGCATGTATTGAGTGTTACGTCATTGAATTGTGTGAGAAAATTACGTTGTTTTCTAAAAAATTGATGACGTTTCTTTCACAAACAAATGACGTAACAATCAATACCTGCTCACAAGAGAACATAACTCTTCAATACGCAAAGACGGAATAAGACACACTATTAAAAGCTATGGCGAGTCTAACTATGCAACTAATGAAATATGTTTTTCTGTATGAGCTCTGTTTCTTTGTCATCGTTTTGTTTGAACCAATTCAGAGGGAAACGGGTCAAATCATTTTTTTGTCTATTCGCAATCCCCTCGGGATCCAGATTTACCTTTCTTTTCTCTATGATGAAGGAGGACCAAAACAATCTTGACCTGCTGAACCCCTTGCAATGTTTATAATCGCTATCATTTCATTTTATGTGAGTTGTCTGAATATTCTAGACACTTTTAAAGACTAAAGCCGCGGTCACATCTTACGGTCACGCACGTAGTTGACCTTTGTGGGGTGTGACCGTAGTTGACTGTAGTCGACCGAAGATAACCTTAATCAAACGTATTCAACGTTGTTAGACGTAGTTCAACGTAGTTATAAACTTAACATTACTTAACCCTAATTGACCCTTCTTCACCCTAGTTGGTCCTAGTTAACCGTACTAAAAGTACGGTGAACGTACCGTGAACGTACTTCAAACGTAGTCTAACCCTAATAGTTGTCCCTATTTGACCCAAACGGTCAACTACCGTAAACACTATGGTCAAGTAGGGTCAATAACGGTCAAATACGTTCAAACTGCGATCACAGTACGGCCTTGACATCCAAACTCACTACAGAGATATTTTGAACATGTTGACAGATTTTAGGCTTACCACGGCCAAATCATGGGTTTCTTGAAGTTCAAACTATGTTTCTAACTATGTTTAACTACGTCTAACTACGCGTTATTACGTTAAACTAAGGTAACCTACGGTTGACTACAGTCAAGTGCTGTCATACCCCACTACGATCAACTGCGTGCGTGACGGTAAGATTGGACCGCGGCATAACACTGTTTAAACTAACGGTTTAAATCGGCAGTGTGAATGTCATCAAACCAAAGCAATTATGATAAAAACACTTGCAAATTAACAAGGATAAATGCGATTACAAAGTTCATCTTAATCAATAAGGATGCTTAACTAGTTATGATACACACTGGTTATGTCATTCTCCAAAATTCAACCAAAATTCAACCACAGTCCTTCTTTATGCAGACATTTGAGAATCATATTCTTCTAATATACAAACCGACAAATATAAAAACCGAAACAACTGATGCAGTGTAATTCATTTTTGGCTTCCTGCATCTGTTGTAAAATGTAAATGGCACAATCAGGTGTGTGTATGTGTTAACGTTTATGTTTTTTACAGACACAAGTATAGGTCGTGGGCTTTGTTAGTCAGCTAAACCATTCTGAAATTAAAAACAGTAATGTTGTAATAAGGTATTGATACAAACAAATACCATACCAGATACTAATAATAACAACAATACTTCGGGGATCTTATATACCGCTTTATAACAACCTGGTTCAAATGTCGTCTCAAAGCGGTTCACAAATTATCATACGTGGTTATCGGGCCTTTGCAACCAACAAATATCTTTCTCAACCACATGGGGAGCACACAGCCGGTGCTGCAATTTCGGCGCTAAAAGCTTGCATTCAACACTACCCAACAATGTACTCATTTACAGCTGAGTAGACTGAAACAAGAGGAGTAAAGTATTTTGCTAAAAAATACAACAATATGCCGTGACGTGACTCGAACCCGCAACCCGTCGGTCACGATCCTGGCGTCCTATCACTATGCCGTGCCTCCTGCTTCAAATAACACAGTAAATAAGCATCCTCCCTCATGATAAAGATGGCAGCGGATTAAACGTCCGTGGTGGCAGACATGTTTTTGGAGGTATTATGAAATTGTAAATAATAATTCTCCTTTCGTATATAAATAATTATTTGCTTTAGTAAACGGATAAGCAACTCCAAGTCAGAAAAAAACATTGGAACGCTTAGTTGGAGGTTGAATACAGATAACGCGTACTGCCTACCCTAACCAGCATGTTTATCAATGTGCGCTGTAGCGATGTTAAAAGGTCGTCCACAAAACAGGCATCCATGTATGAAATGTCATTGTGTATGTCATTATGAAGGTTAACAACATATCAATACAAGTAATTCATTGAAATTCATATCATCTATGTCAATAAGTAGTCTATATAAATAAATATTATACAATTGATTTCACATATCTGAGGCGATGCAATTCCAAGTATTAAATGAGTAGCCTACGTTATCTGCTTTGACTGAACTATTTTCCAATATTTAAAATCTCGTTCAATGTGTGTCTTAAAGACCTTGTGTCAAACCAACCTTCCAGGATTTTGGAGACATTGAGGTGTCTACCACAAGTGCTTCAAGACACTCTTACCCTCTTGAATATGACAGCTTTTGTAGTCTTGGTGCTGCCAATCTTTGGCGAATAATGCATGTGACAAAGTGATGTAGTATATGCTGGAATCGTGAAAAGAATACACCTGGTTAGTACCCACTGCATGTAGCGAAGAAGGCGACTAATATGGGAACCCCAAACAGAAATGTTGATTTTCGTGTGTGCCCTCTTCTTAAGGATACATGAACGACCAAATAAATCTGCTGCACCAATTGCAGTTTTTGGGATTTTTATATCTCTACTTCTAACAATTCGTTTTTGGTTTTACGTTAAACAAAATAAAACCACACCAAACCAACGGTTGGCCGTAACTCCGGCTGTATCTGTTTGTAAAATTGTTTTAACGAATTAGTATACTGTTTAATAATAAATGGTAGATTTTACGTCAAAAGGTGGTCGACTCTGCTAATGGACTGCCTGTCATCGTTGTTGTCCGTAACTTTGTAGATGTAATATATTTCGGTATGGTTTACGTAAAGTTTTCTTGGAAGAATAAATTACCTTTGAAATGCCTACATAGTGTACGTCATCAAATAGTTAACTCGCGACCCAGTGGTAAACGTTTGTTTGTTTGTTTGTTTGATTTTGTTTAACGTCCTATTAACAGCTAAGGTCATTTAAGGAAGGCCTCCCCTGTGTGCAAGATGCATGCGTGTAGTGTATGTGTGTGTATTTTGGGAGGCTGCGATATGTTCGTGTTTGTCTCCTTGTGATAGCGCGGAACTGATGCCGACTTTATAGTGCTACCCCACTGAAACATACTGCCAAAGACACCCAGCAGGACGCCCCACCCGGTCACATTATACTGACAACGGGCGAACCAGTCGTCCCACTCCTAACTTGCTGAGCGTTAAGCAGGAGGAGAAACTACCATTGTTAAAGACTTTGGTATGTCTCGGCCAGGGGACAGAACCCAAAGCCTTCCTCACAGGGGCGAACGCGCAACAAATGGCCAAAAGGAAGGCATTGTCAAGGGAGGCATTAGGAAGAAGAAAGTTATTTAGAAAGGAGAGAAGAGATAAGGTCCCAAATTAAGTCGCCTCTTACGATCATGCAATTGGGGGCAGCAGGTACAATTCTTATGCCCTACCTGCAGGGTTCCAGTGGTAAACACGCTTTCCAGTGGCTTCCTCTGAAGGTCGAGATGGTCAGTCCACAAGTTTTGTTTTTATCTCTTTGCTGAAATTTCCTCCTGCACGGTTGATATGAAAAAAATATAAGTTTATAAATAAATCTGTTTAAAATCTAAAATTTAAAATATAACGTATTAAATGGTTTTCGAGACACCTTTTGTTAATTTTTACTACTAAATATACTTACGGACCATATATAGACATGGAATCTCAAACGTTTAACCTTAAATAACACCGATTAGTACTAAATGGACGTAATTGCATCATTGCAGGGGCCGGGGTTGCCAAGTAATTACGGCGTCTGACATTCTGCTACCACCAGCCCTCCCTCAACCACTTGGTCGTGGGGCAGTCGCCAGGTACTGGCCATTGGTCGGTGTTTTTTCTCCGGGAACTCCGGATTTCCTCCACCACCAAAACCGGGCAGGTCTTTAAATGACCATAGTTTTCAATAGGACGTCAAACACAAACAACTAATGCAACATTGTAGTAAAAGTGTTAACTTTGTCTTTCGAGTCTGCTAACTTTTTTATAAGTTGATTCCTGACTTGTAATTTCGTACAAAATGACTACTGCATGGAATGTGAAAGTCACTTGCGGTATTTTGTTTTACATTTGTGTAACAGAGGTAAATATTTAATCAATGCCTCCGTCAGAAGTCGAATCTTGAACCTCTGGCTTACTAGTCCTACGCTCTACCGAATGAGCTAAAGAGAAAGTCTCGCTAGCCGAGTCGATAGGTAGTGGCTAGTATTTTGTCCAGGGTGACATATGCATAGAAGACAAAGAGAGTTCATGTAACGTTGTCATAATGTAAAGGACTTTTTCGTTCCAGTCGCTGGTGTAGAAAATATGTTTAAAATCTCCGCAAGTCTCGGTTAATATATATATTCTACGTCGGAGTAGAAAACAAAACAATAGCAAATCTTCCACCACAATGATAAGAAATACTCAGTTTTTGAAACAATAAAATGTATGTATACACTGATATACACAGCAGTGTCTGGGGCAACGTATTGTCACGAGAGAATCGACACAGAGACGAAATGGAAAGTTACGCCTTGATAGAAACTCTTGATCTGGTCTCATCAACCTTTCCCTGTAGAGTGTGAATGGACGCCAAGGGATACGCTTAATCGCATGCTGCAATGCATCTA